ACGTCACACACAACGACGACGGCGAAAGCACAGCCAACGGCGAGGGCGAGAGCCCAGCGACGGGCCACAGCGAGATCACAGTGTTCACGACACCCCCACCTCCCGCTACGCCATCCACGTCACACCGCTGCCTTCTAAAGGTTGTTCGTCCCGAACAGCTTAGCGGTACATCCCAGTTCCTTTTTCTTCCATTGCTGTGCTTGCTGTGTCTCCTGTTGATCGGCTACTCCTCTGCAGCGACTATTCTCATTCGGTTCTAGGGACTAATAACATAGGAAACCTGGTAAGTAGTTGGCATGTATCTGATGAGCCGGCTCTATCGGATCACAGATATATATGCTTTAAAATAAGTAACATCACAGTAGATCAAACTACTTATAGGTTCCTAAGAGAACCAATTAGGAGTCTTACAAAGACGACCTAATGGTAAATATGGAGGCCATCTCGCGTAATATACGCACAATAAAGGATGTTGATCGGTCCGTTGACCAGTTGCAACGGACTATTATCTCGTCCTTTAATCAGAATTGTCCGGTTACGACCACTCGCGGACCAAGGAGTACACCTTGGTGGAATAAACAGCTGAGTGGGCTTAGGATCAAAACAAGAAGGCTGTTTAATACAGCTAAAAGAACAAGGCAGTGGGACAGCTATAAGGAAGCCCTGACCTGTTACAAGAAAGAAATAAAGAAAGCCAAGCACTCCTCATGGAGGGGATACTGACAGGAGATCAATGACGTACCGGGCAGGGTCAGACTCATGAGACTCATGGCAAACCAGGCGACCAATAAGGTCAGCACAATTAAGCTGTCTAACGGACAGTATACTCAAACAGGAACGGAGACGCTGAATGAATTATTCAGAGTTCACTTTCCTGATTCAAAATTGATTGACAAATTGGACAATGGACAGGGTCAGCGGAACCTGGACACTTGCCAAAGCAAGATGGACAGGTTAGACTGGGACCTGGCCAAAGTCATAGTTAATAAATAAAAAATACGATGGGCACTGAACATTTTCAGGCCATTTAAATCGGCGGGTACGTATGGAATTGTACCGGCACTTTTGCAACATGGGGCAGAACTTTTAGTTCCACACTTATGTCGCATATAAAGAGCCTGCATGGCATATGATTTTATCCCCACAGCCTGGCGGCAGGTTAAGGTGACGTTTATTCCAAAGCCCGGGAAACTTGATTATACCGAGGCCAAGGCTTATCGCCCTATAAGCCTGTCGTCTTTCCTTTCGAAAACGATGGAGAAACTAGTGGATAGGCATGTTAGGGACGGGGTATTGAGGACATGTCCTCTACACCAAAAACAACATGCCTACCAAACAGGTAAATCTACCGAAAGTGCACTACACAATGTGGCAACACGCATAGAAAGTTCAATTGAACACAAGGATATTGCCTTAGGAGCATTCCTTGATATAGAGGGAGCCCTTGATAGGACCTCATTTGATGTAATCAAACAGGCTGCTGGAAGCCATGGCATAAAGCCTGCAATATGCAGATGGATCAATGCTATGCTGGAAAGCAGAATCATAACTGCTACATTATCGGGAGGAACCCTGGGGGTGTCCGCGTCTAGGGGATGTCCGCAGGGGGCGTACTTTCGCCTCTGCTGTGGAGCCTGGTCGTCGACGATCTCCTGTGGGGACTTAATGATGATGGGTATTATACAGTAGGATATGCTGATGACATAGCAATCCTCATAAATGGAAAATTCCTTTCAACTGTATCAGAGCGTCTTCAGTCAGCTCTATACATGGTCCAACGATGGTGTGAAAGAACAGGTCTGTCCATCAATCCCAACAAGACGGTAATCATACCGTTTACTAGGAAGAGAAATGTAAAGGGCCCTAAGGAACTGATTCTCTTCAATTAGACAATCCAGCTCTTCAGCGATGTCAAGTACCTTGGTCTAGAATTAGACAAGGGACTGACATGGAAAAATCAGCTGGACAAAGTCATTAACAAACCCTAGAAGGCTTTTTGGACATGCAGGGTCATGTTTGGTAAAACTTGGGGACTACAGCCACACGTTGTTCGTTGGATATATACTGTGGTCGTGAGACCTATAATTACTCATGGTGTCACAGTATGGTGGCCCAGAGTTAAATTCAAGACAAGCAAGACAGAACTTTGCAAATTGCAAAGGTTGGCTTGCTTAGGTATTACCGGAGTATTTCGAACATCTTCAACAGCTGCACTGGAGATACTCCTTCGACTCCCCCCACTGCATATGCAGTTGGATGCAGAGGCCAGGGCAGGAATTTACCGTCTACAGTGCTGTGCACAATGGAAATTTAGATATGATGGTTTCGGCCATGCAGACATGACTCGGGACATGAAAACAGAACCCACATTACAAATGGGGTCTGACAAAATTGTACTGAGACTTGTACTCGTATATGAAAAACCCTTCTCAGTCAGATTTCCTGAAAGGAGTGAATGGGAAAATAGGTTTTGGCCCGACAGAAAAGGGGGACTGATCTGGTATACAGATGGCTCCAAGAGAAATAAGGGCACTGTAGCTGGTGTGTACTGCCATGGCACGAGGAGGAAACTTAGTTTCAGCTTTGGGCAGGACATGACAGTATTCCAGGCAGAAGTACATGCCATTAAAACATGTATTATGGCGAATTTAGATAGGAACTATAGAAATAGGAAGATCTACATTCTATCTGAAAGCCAAGCAGCACTCAAAGCACTTGACAAACACCAGATCAATTCAAAATTGGTCTGGGATTGCCACCAAACCCTCATGGAACTGGCCAAACATAACGGGGTACAACTGATATGGGTGCCGGGGCATGAGGGTATTGCTGGAAATGAAGCAACAGACCAATTAGCTAAAATTGGAGCTGAACATCCGTTCATAGGACCTGAACCAGCCTGTGGCATCTCTCTTGAAGTTGCCAAACAGGCAATCAGGGACTGGACTAACATAAAACATAAGAAATACTGGGAATCAATAACTGGACTCAGGCAAGCTAAGGGACTCATACGAGGACCTTCTGATAAAAGAGCGAAGAAACTGTTGAAGCTCAACAGGAACCAGCTACGATGGGTGGTAGGACTACTTACAGGACACTGTCACCTCAAAGGACATCTCTTCAAATTGGGACTAAGTAACAGTCCAACTTGTGAGAGGTGTCAAGAAGAAAGTGAAACAGCCACACATATCCTGTGCGAATGTGAGGCCTTAGCTTGTTTAAGATTGTGCCACTTGGGTCAGTATTTTATGGAAGCAAGTGACTATTTCGACGTCCCAAATTACAGGATCTTGCGTTCATCCGAAACGTGGGGTTGCTGAGGGAATAATTAAAAAAAGGGAAGCCCAATGGGCCACTGAGTTCTAAGTGCAAGGGCCGAGCATGCCTACCCTTTCGTACATACATACATACATTCTCATTCCGTTACAACCCCTACCTTCTTAAGACCAGCTCGTCTCGAGCGGTTTCCTGCTCACTTGCCAGAAGATCCAGTTGTTCACATTCATTAGTCGCACATTCACTCCTCCTCGGGAGGCCGGTACTTCTACGTTACCGGTTCCTCCTCTGCTTGAAGTCTCCTTTTTCGTTTTGGAGGGGGTCGACACCTCCACAGTATCCAGTTTTTGATGTTCGTATCTGCTGGGATTCCGTGCAGCACGTCTGCTTGTGCACTTGCACATACCTCGAAATTTCCTTTCACGACGAGTCCTTGTGTCGTTCTCTCACGTTCAAGTTCTTCTCGTGCTTTCTTTGACACATCTTTATGTTTGCTTGTGCGTGACTTTAACTGAACTACCTGGAGTCTGAGCCTCTTGCGCTCTGTTACATTTCCACAGCAAGTAATCTTTTTGTCGGCCGCAGTGTAGGCAGTGTAGTTCTCTTATAAACCCTCAGCCGGACAACGGGAAAACGCCTTGCTTCCTTGTTGATTAGTCGCGTGTTTATCGGCGTTGCTGGGCTTCTCTTATGGGAGTTGTTTACGGCTACGTAGCAACTGTGGCGTCCCGTGTTACGTGACCGCGGGGAAAGTGGTGTCTACCGAGCGTTGCACACTGATGGACGGAATGGGTGTATGTGACGTCACTCGCGATATCACAGAGTTTTCGCGACACCCACCTCCCCTCCTCCATCTACGTCACAATATGTTGTAATTTTGCCATATATTCCTGTCTAGTACTGCACGTCTCCCTAGTGAAATTAATAATAAATTGAAACGTCAGTATTACCGTTTGCTATATATGATTTGTAATGCTTTAATGTAACCAAAGAACTATGTTCTATGTGGCTTTCAAGTGTAAGTTGTTACCAACTGTATGAGGTTAAACAGAAGTATGTGTGATGGAAACTTTACAGGCACTGGTGAGAAACTTCCTATTTTTTCAGCTCTGTCCCCTTGTGCTGCAGAGGTTCTTTCTACGTTGTTTTTCTTCTTCTTTTTTTGAAGTGAGTTCAATATCACTTCCCTCATATCCTTTGGAGCGGATATGAGTGAAGTGATATTGAACACAGTTCAGAAAAAGAAAAAAAAAAAAGGAGGAAGAACCTTTGCAGCACAAGAGATGTGGTTGCAAAATTATGTATTGATATTCATGTCAATTGTCGGTTCCGTAGGGTTGGGGAGGGGGGGTGGAAGCATAGGGTGTTATGGTAGCATTCTATTTTATTGATCACGCTGTCGGTGCTGGTGGCCACAGCTCATTTAGTCAGGATACGTCTGCGTAGAGATGGCAGCAGTAATGCCATGTGGCGTCAGCGCGGCCATGTTGCCCACCATTAACGAAAATTTTCCGGAGCGTGGTGCATAGATAAGACCGATAAGACGTCCATGTATGGTTTTATTCCTACAGGATTCATGCAACGTAGTGATGCATTGTTAACTTTGCACACGCTAAAGGTGTCCCTCATTTGTTTCTAATGAACATGACTTTGCCAGATTCGGTTCTTGAGCGCATGGCGGGTTATTTAAATATCACACGGCGCAAAAAAAAAGAAGCAAACTTTGTATTAGCGTAAGGAATACGCGTATAGCGAATATGTGTTCTCTGTTAATTAAATTGTTTTATTGAATGAGTAATGTAAACATCCAGAATTTTCTTAAAGCCAAAGTAATCACATTTTGGACCTTGAAACTGAAAATTTGCACACAGTCTGTCAAATTCGCGGATCGAAGTTAGATCTAGTTAATATACCACATAGCAAGCGTGAACTCAGCAGTGTTTTGTAAATGTGCTAGGCAAGATTGTACATGGTTAATGACATAATTAAAGACTGTTTATGTGTGAAGATACATCCGCAGGAAGGCGACTGAGTAAACAACAACATAGTGGGCGGTGATATTATTTAATAATTCATCGTATTAAGTAATACAGTTTGACGTCATATGAATATGCTCAGAACAGTCGTAAATAAGTTTATAAGGCGACCATTATCAAGCATGGCATATAATGGCAAATTAAAAGGAAAAGTTGCAATTGTCACGGCATCAACTGATGGGTAAGATTGATGTGCTACGTTACGAAACGGAAAATTTGTTTTGTGTAGTTTCAATTTTAAGATGAGAATGACTATTGAAACATAACCCTACTAATTTCCTAACCTCCCCCCTTTCGCCAAAAGCAGAAAAATAAGTGACTGTATTCAGGAATTTGCAGACGCACTAGAAAATATAACCACTAAGAAATCTGTAGATGCTTCAAAGTATCACAAATCTGCCAGTAATAAGATATATTATGCAACTATGCTATTCGTTTACAATGTGTATGCAGAACTTCGAACTCGGTACTCACAGATCTTTTATATGTTGTAGCATTGGTTTTGCAATTGCTGAACGTCTAGCAGCTGATGGAGCTAGTGTGGTCGTAAGCAGTCGTAAAGAGAATAATGTTACCAGCGCCGTTGAGAAATTGAGATCCTGTGGCTATTCAGTTTCTGGTGTTGTATGTCACGTGTCAAAAGCGTCTGACAGGGAGCGTCTTATTAAGGAAGCGCAAGATAAATTTGGTGGAATCGATGTCCTTGTTTCAAATGCTGCTGTCAACCCAGGGGTTGGACCTGTGTTGGAGGTAATGTATAAGCTTTTGGGTACTCATGTTTCAGCATTAACTATGGGCTGTTTTTATTTGTATTAAGAAAATATCCTGCAGAGATCTCACATTTAGTGCAGATGAAACACAGGTATCTAGTTTGAATTTTAGCCTGAAAGTTTCTGTAATTCCCCTCAAACCCTCCTGGTGATATTGAAGAGGTTCAGATAGTGTATATTGCTGCAAATAATTTCCTGCTTTCTTCTCAAGGAAAATTATATTTGGAGGTAGTTGGTTGAGGCACAATGCTGCAAGCTGGAAGGTTGCAGGTTCGAGTCCCGATCAGGCCATTTTTTTTTTCTTCAATTGACCATATTCTTCCAGCTGTACTATGGCCCTGCGGTTGACTCAGCCTCTTAACAGAATTGAGTACCAGGAGTACTCTTGGGGGTAAAGGGCGGCCAGCGCATAGTGTTGACAACGTTTCCACCATCTATAAGCCGATTGTCTAGAAAATGTGGGAACCTCAACATCTCACAACCCTATGGACCTCTATGGCCTGCTACAGGGATACTTTTACTTTTATCATTCAGAGAATTTATCTTTCAAATGATGACCTCAATTATGATAGTACTCTGGTGCTAGGCCTCATACATGTGGAGTTTTTTAAAGTTTTAATGTTTTGTCTTAACACTCGCAGATGATTTGTGCTGTGCTTGGTTTGTATACCTTATCTTATGTTGGTGGAGGTGTCTGGAGATAGGGATTGCCTCTATCGATTGGGCCCAACTGAGTAGGTTTTATCTGAAGATGGAGACAGAATCCAGTCTCCAAAAGGTTATGTATTCTAAATAAAACACAATGGTGCTTTAAATTTAAACAGAATGATGGGTAATGACCAGAAACATAATAGTTGTATGAATAATATGAATTCTTATCTTCTAGAGCACTGAAGAAGTGTGGGACAAGATATTTGAGGTGAATGTGAAAGCTGCATACCTCCTCTCCAAGGAAGTCCTGCCTCACTTGCGGAAGCGTCATGGAGGTAGCATTGTGTATATAGCTTCTATTGCAGGCTTTGATCCTTTAGGGGTTAGTATTAAAAATTATTTTATATGAGACATTTGAGTTGTTATACTTTCATTAAAAGTAGCATGCTAATCAAGCAAGAAGTATACCTCAGTTTACAGATGTTGAAAGGAAACTGTTTAAAACCAATGCCACCTTGTGGTTTAATAAGACCTGTCTAAATGAAGGTTTAACACCTACATATGCCCAAATAAAAATCAAGGGCAGCAGTACTCCTGTAAAAAAAAATTAGAATTAAGAATGAAGTTAGACTCCTGAATATTAACCGTTCAGCGTGGTTTGACGTGTATGTTTCGTCAGGTATTTAAATCGTCTGGGGGGGTTCGACGTGTATGTTTCGTCCAGCTGCACACCTATGTTATAACGCCCATAATAATTGATGGTTTTGCTGTTGATTGTTAGATTTTTCACTGGCCTGTTGTCAGGAGAACTATATTTAATGACACACGAGTTTAACAGCGCTAAGTCATGGTTACATATGCCTGTCTTGCAGCAAAATCCTGTTGCTCTTGGAAGAGGTTTCCTCATTCAAACTGCTGTGAATGGCGTGTTTTCTTTCCTATGAAGTTATAAACAGCAGAGACGTGATNATCACAACCGTAATAAACAGCTGTATAAATTATAACTTCAAAATGCAAACTATTGGCAAAATACATGGAATCTGATTCAAAATAATATAAAAATAAAACCAAAAAGTGAACTGGACAGACACTATTAATGAAACTGATAACGTATTGAAAAGCAAAAGGAAAACACCAGCCAAAACAAAAAAAAAAATTGAAGTGAAGCGAAACACTGTGCATTCCTACCCAAGAATGTGTAACTTATAAAACCTACGGTTTCCAGAAAAAGAAGAAAGTCTGTTAAATAATGGGTGTAAATATTATATGGAAACACCACAACGTAAATAACTCAATAACTGAAACAGAAAATGCTATAAAACTATTATATGAAGACATATGGGGGAGTGGAGGTATAGATTCACCATTCTTCAGATGAACAAAATACCATCTGATGCCTTGCTGCAAAGAGCACACCACGCAATATAGTGAATGATGCTTAGTTAGGAAATTTATAATTAAAAATGCAGTTACATATTGCAACTGCTCCTTCCCGCCTTACTGCTCGTTGGTTGCCTTTATTATAGCTGCCTCTTTTGCGCTTACAAATAATTATCTCAGGTTGCTTTTATTATATAAGGAGGTGAGGTTTGTTGTTTTTGGTAGAGCTGAGGGTCTCTTTCTCAAGGCCTTTAGTGGGCCTAAACTCCAAGAAGGCAGGAAATAAACTCGAAGCTACACGTGCACATATCAAGTTTAACTGTTTATTAAATGTTTATGCCCTGTATTGTATTGTATTGGAGAGGGTGGGTTTCCCCATGCACTTAGACCAACTGTTGGTCCATTGTGTGTCCCCCTATGCTATTCTACCAGTCTCTATTCCCTACTGGTACTGGTGCGTGCCATCAGTCCCGACTCAGCCAGCGAGTTTGGCCTCTACTGGCTCAGCGGTATCTTGATGCTTCCCCCATCTACCAGAGGCGTTAGAGACTACTGTTGTGTGGGAAATGTCCTGAATTTGGCTCAGTGGTCCCCTTGGGACATGAGGTTCTTTTACGTGCCGTAAAGCTACAACACGGGACCCACGGCTTAAAGTCCCTCCCGGTGGACTTGTTCCCTGAATTTTTCCGCCCTTAAAAATTCCACGACCTCCGCCAGGTTTGAACCCACGCACCTTGAGTCATGAGGTGAGAACGTTACCCCTAGACTATGGAGGCCGCTTTTTATGCCCTGTAACTCACTCCATTACTAATTTTTTTAGTTACTGTGCTTAATTTTTTAGTTTCGTTTCTTTGAAGCACAACACTTTTGCTTCTAGTGTTACTACTTTAGCACTTACAACTTGGTTACTAATATTTATTAGTAAGACAATGGAATTTCAACTGACTGACACAAGTTTTGCTTCTGAATTCTACAAGAGCCAGTGTGTGACCGATACAAGTTTTGCTTCTGAATTCTACAAGAGCTGGTGTGTGTAATCACAAGTTTTGCTTCTGAATTCTACAAGAGCCAGTGTGTGACCGATACAAGTTTTGCTTCTGAATTCTACAAGAGCTGGTGTGTGTAATCACAAGTTTTGCTTCTGAATTCTACAAGAGCCAGTGTGTGACCGATACAAGTTTTGCTTCTGAATTCTACAAGAGCTGGTGTGTGTAATCACAAGTTTTGCTTCTGAATTCTACAAGAGCCAGTCTGTGACTGACTTTGATGACTCACTTCCCTCCAAACCATGAGGTCCTTGGTCCATCAGCTTTTTGGCTCTGTCACACCACTAAATTCTAGTGATTGGACGTTTTTGAAATTAGGGAGTTCACTTTATTTCCCTGATTTCCAATCAGCTCACTGTGACTTTGGATTTTAGCTCATAAAGACATAACGTAACTTTTGACAGGTCCTCAATGGATGCTACGCTTGGCTTCAATCTCTGGCCGTCCTCCTTAAGAATTATGAGTTGCCGAAGCTGTCAAGTTTTGAATTCTGAAAGACTGCTGCAGTTACACTTTCGAGCTAAAATTCTCAGAAATATCAACAGGGGTTCTTCCGGTTCTACTGTAAGCTTGAGAATAAGCTACTTCTTACATGCAAGAATAGGCCTATGTCTCACTGACTTGTTCATAACATCCAACTGTGAAACAAATTTCTAATTAACAAACTTAGTTAAATTTAAATGGGTGCATGGCAGTGGTTCAGTTACAATATGCCCCCCTCACCCTAGGTTAAAGACAAATAACTAATTGCACAGTGTTATCATGGCAGGCAATGAAGCAGTAATGTGATATCAATCATGTTCTGCATGAAATCCACATAAAAACAGCAACACCAACAAAAGACAAAATATATACAAAATTATGCAGTCCATTGGCAAATTGTACATACAAGGGAACTCTTTACACATTGATTATAAAGGAATTTAAATGTAAATGTTACTACCAGAAATGAATGTCTACTAAGCAATGCTCTCTTTAACACATAAGCCTATAATGATAGCACTAAATGGCTGAAACACATAAGGCATATTTTATCCAGTAAATAAAGTTTCTAACTACTATATGTTGTGCTTGGTTTATATTGTCATGTGTATGAGTCTGACCATAGATGGGGTTTGGATCGGTAATTGGATTTATTGAACACTTACAGATTCTAACTACAAGTATCTATAACACTATCGCTAATTCACACACACTACAGTTCACTACAGTATGTACTAAGTCTTCTCAGTTTGTTGTGTCCTCACCAGTTTTCTGGTAATGGCTTCCAACAGCAGACATTCCCCTTCCTTTGGGTTCCCGAGCTATCCCTGTGCCTTAGCTATCAGCTTATAACAGCAACAGCTCGCAAGAACTGACCCACACCATTCCTCTAACTCACTCACTCACCAACCAACTCACAGCCTGGCAGCCATCTCACACCAACCTCATACTCTTCTCACTGCTGTCTCAAGGCTCAAGACTTCAATGGCATCTGGCCTTCGTTATATGGCCTTGCCATGGACTGCTTAGAAAACACCTCTCCCAACAGTTTTCTTTGTTGCATCATGTAGCTTGCATGGACCATGTAGAGAGCACTGATTCCCAGTTACTCCATTGTTGCATGTTATGTGTCTCTTGCCTAGCAACAGGGGTGTTTGTAGAGCCATTTCCTAGCAATGGCTGTTTTTGCTGGCTTCACAGTTTTTGCCTTGTACAAGTATGTCACAATATTATTCTGTTATTGAAAATGATGTTTCAAAGTAAGGATGAACACAGTATTATCTGCCATCTAATTATGTACAGATTACTCTTTTGTTGGATGTGACACAATGAAGTCTTGTAAATATTTACCAGTGATTTGTAGGAACATGCTGCCTCCATCTATTATCTATCCCATTAACTGACTGATCTTTGTAATCAAGACACAGTAAGTTTTCTGAGAGATAGAAACTGAATTTTTTAAATAATGTATTTAGATGAAGTTCCAAAATGTTATGGATGCATAATTTCCTATATTTTAGTCCACTTAGATTCATTTAAAATGTGCTCTGGCTAGTATTATTTGAATTGAGCACCTTTATTATAATTTCACGATAAAGGATTTGTAAGCTTTAACATAAACTAACTTCCTTGCTTTGTAACCAGCCTAGTTCTAGATCAGAGATGAAGCCCCAGATTTCAAGACTGAGGGAGTGATAATTCACTACCTGGGGGAATGGGGAAGGGGCAGTGATAGATAGGTATGAGGCTATGGCGGAATGATGATTAGCAGGGGAAAGTCAAAGAATGTGAACCAAAAACCAAAAAACCATCTCCAGTTCTACTTTGTCCACCACAGATCATGTTTGAAGTCATCCAGGAATGAACCTGGTCCTCTGTGATGAGTCAGCATCTAGCCCCATGAGCTGTGGTACATCAATTTAAATTTATATCCATAAATAACTTCAGATAAGTTCATCTGTTAAGCCTATGATGTATTTCTCAGTTTCTGAGTACTCAGTTGATGTTACTTCAATGGACTGCACTGATGTATTGAAAGATGCTTCCCATAATGCCTAGCTTTAACCAATCATGTGTTGCCCTCTGCTGTTGTGCTTGGAGATGCCAGTAGTTCACTCGTAAACAGACACTGCGGTGGCAGAATCCAGAATTTCCACCTCACTAATACCAGGGCCCCCGTGGGAATTACACACTGTGGAAGAACTTGCCAGTCACACAGACATTACACAGAGGAATGAGTTAGGCTCACTAGAGCCATTACAATCCTGCATGAACCATCTAGTGTCATGTGTAAATTTCTTGTAGGTGCACCTGTCTTGTACACATTAAGGTATGGTATAAAATGATAAAAAAATTACAACAGTGGAATTATATTTCAAAATATTTATGTTGGTGAGACTAAACATTTCTGCATTTCCATCTTCTATATAAAAGGTCCTTGTAAAGCAGCTCCTGGGCATAATTCTTTATTATGCTCCTACTAGCTACAAATTAGACAAGCATGAATTTTTTTTTTTGGGTTGGGGGGTGATGTGGAGAAGTAAGAAACTCCTTCCACCTTTGCATATTATTGGGAGAACTGTCCAAGAATGTAAAGTTCCACACTCAGAACATGATCATATGGTGGTAAATTCTTGAAGATTGTGGCTTGTGGCTTCCATCAGTGAATCTGTATGGGAAAATGACAGTGTCAGAAGTGTTGCAACAGGATAGGAAATGGTTATGCAGTACATCATGAATGCTTGAGTGAAGACTGGTGGTAAAGTTCCATACACCATTAACCTCAGTATGAGATGAGGCAAGCAGTCAACTTAGCTTCTTTAGCTGCTGTACTTCGAAGGAAACATTCCTCAGCATTTATTGGATAGAAGGCTAGGTGGCCCCCAGAATTGGTCTGGACATGGTGTTGAAGAGAAAAATCTTTGCATCTGCCAAGAATTCTTTCTTAATCCAGTCGGTAGTAACTCCACCCATCTTCTCTTATTAAGAAATTAAGAGATGAAATCGCACAGGTGCTCATATCTGTGTGTAACCCCTTTGAACTAATTTCCTGTAATGACACTTATCTTTGCAGCTGCTAGGTGTGTATTCTGTAAGTAAGACTGCATTGCTGGGACTCACCAAAGCGGCAGCCAAAGATCTGGCAAGAGAAAACATCAGAGTTAATTGTGTTGCACCTGGCATTGTCATCACAAAATTTTCATCAGCTGTAAGTATGTCACGTTCCTTATTTAATATTAAAAACAGATAATGCTTTCAGTTTATATTAATGTTGCTATTAGAAGACTTGTGAGTTTTTTGCAAATGTCTCATTGTAATGGGAGTACAGTGAGACATTACATCAGCTATTCAACAGACTTTAGGAATGCCTATGACTCAGTTACAAAGCAAGTATTGGACAATATTCTCACTGATTTTTGGGTACCCATGAAACTAGTTAGGCTTACTAACCTTTAATGTACAGATGTCAGCTATATCTGACAGAAAGTAACATTTTGCTGTGGCCGAATGTTACACTTATTTAACGCAGTACACATGCACCCTTTGGGAGTGCTGACAGTTTGATCTTCAGGTTGAAGCCACAACAAACCCATGCAATGTCAAGTCAGTGGTTCATTCCTTAGCTCTGAGCATTGAAATCATTTATCACGGTACTGGTTTCAGTATTATTTATGTTTAGATATGACTGTTTATGAGGGTCAGCCAAATAGAGCACAGCTTTGTTTTGAAAACTGAGAAGTAAATATTCATCTGAGCATGCTGATTAGTGCTCCTTCAGCTTGCAAGGAAGTGGGTCGTTTTCAAGGATTTGTTTTCAGTAGTGAATTATCAGTCAGAAAATCAGTGTCGGATTGTCAATTATTTATAAACCATTTTTATTTTGTGTCTCGGTAGAGGTATAGAGCCATTGAAGACAACAGTGAACATATGGGCTTTGTGGATAAAGCTGACAGGATGGTAAATAGTTATAGAATTTCCCGGAGGACATGGAAATCGACAAAGAAATATTTGTTCACTTTCTAGACATGCCTATTCTCAATGCCTATTTTTGCACAAGTCATGTGGCAGAAAAATGACACATAAAAAATTCTGCGAAATCCTAGTGCGAGATTTAATTGTACAGTTGCATGAAGCGAATATCATGGTCAGTGGCGTTTCTTGGGGGTGGCCAAGTTCATCTGGGGCCCAACTGAGTCAACTAGAGGTGAAACATTCGCAACACTGGCCATCCAAAGGGAAACAAAGACATCATGTGTGTTCACTAAATAGGAAAACCATGAGTACCCTCTCCTATTGTAAAAAGTTTGATGTTGGTCTTTGTGTCGAGGACTGCTTCGACCAGTGGCGCATGTGTGTCAGACTGTGAGTGCTGAATGGAATTATCATAAATTGTGAAGTGACGCAGTTTATACTCGCGTACAATCTGAACAAAGGATTATTGAATATAGTGTGATTATTTTTTACAAAATCAACATGTTTCAAGAAAAAACTATGGGTAAGTCCTTTTGAATGTCATAATATATATAATAAAGATGATATTTTGCATTTCATGACAAAATAATGACAATGTATTTTCATTTGTAAAAATTGCTCTTTTGTATATGTAAAAAAACTATTGTTTTTCAGGCTGTTTTTAGTTTGTATTTCTATATTGTATAGAACAATTTCTGAAAGTCTGCAACTTCAAAGATTTAGGGCCATTTAAATTCCGGCCGCAGCAGGCTCTCAACAATTTAAAAGTCCTTACTTTAAAGGTAAAATGTATTTAAATGAAACTTTTTGTAAAGTCTATATAGGTAAACATTTGTCTAATGTGTTTCCTATTCAGAATGGTATAAAACCAGGAGATGCTTTGTCACCCTTGCTTTTCAACTTCTTTAAAATAAGCCATTAGGAAGGTCAAAGACAGCAAGGTGGGACTGAAGTTAAATTGGACACATCAGCTTCTGGCCTGTGCTAATGATGTAAATCTACTGGGAGATAACATAAATACATACCATAAAGGAAAACACATAAGTTCTAATTGACAATAGTAAGGAGGTTGGTCTATAACTAAGCCAGAGAACTAAGTGTATGTTGATGTCTCTTCTCCAGAATGCATGGTAAAATCATGACATAAATGTAGGTAGCGTCATGGAGTTCAGATATTTAGAAACAACAGTAACAAATCAGAATTTGATTCATGAGGAAATTACAAGCAGGTTGTATTCAGGTAGTGCTTGCTACCATTCAATTCATAACCTTTTGTCTTCCTTTTGCTGTATAAAAATGTAAAAATTAAAATATACAAAACTGTAAGTTTTCCTGCAATTTTGTATGGGTGTGAAACTTTGTCTCTGACATTAAGAGAAGAACTTAGACTGATGATGTTTAGAAAGAGGGTGCTGAGGAGAATATTTGAACCCAGGAAAGATAAAATAATAGGAGGTTAGAGAAAACTGCACAGTGATGAGCTTCAAGTCAAAGAGGATTAGATGGGCTGGTCATGTGGCACAGATGAGAGCAAAGAGGAAAGTGCACACAGGTTTGGCAGGAAGCCAGAAGGTAGGAGACCATTATGAAGACCTAGATGTAGATAGGAGGTTAGTATTAAAATGTATCTTAGAGAAATTTGTTAGGGTGGTATGAACTGGATTCATCTGGTTCAGTATAGGGACCAGTGGCAAGCTGTTGTGAATGTGGTGGTGAACCTTTGGATTTGATAGAATATTGGGTGAGTGAGTTGTGGCTCCTCAAGTGCAACTCAGCTTCATGGAGTTAGCTAGCTAGTTATTTAGTCAGTTGTGGGATTGTCGATGTTCTAAAAGACAACCACATAAATCTGTAACAATTGTATATATTAAAAGGTATAAATTGAATGAACAGAATAGCTGCGAAGCTATGTGGAATGTCAAAAGTTGGCTGGCCCTGAAAAGGGCAGTTTGTCCCACCGTGAGTGCGCTGGTAGAATTTGCTCCTTTGTAGTAGACCAAGTCTTCACAGCCATTCAGCTGGTTTGTCCGGCCGATAATGTGGTGCTGTGTGCACCTGTAGGAAAAGCTGCCTACAGCGCGGTTGCTGGAGAGTTGCGGCAACTACATTAGCTGCCTAGTCGCAGAATGAGGTTGCTGGAGAGTTGTGGCAACTACGTTAGCTGCCTGGTCGCAGAGCGAGGTTGCTGGAGAGTTGTGGCAACTACGTTAGCTGCCTGGTTGCAGAGCGTGGTTGCTGGAGAGTTTCAGCAGCTACGTTAGCTGTCTAGTAGCAGAGCATGGCTGCTGGAGAGCTGCGGCAGCTATGTTAGCTGTCTGGTAGCAGTGAAGAGCTGATGACTGATCGCTCTGAACTGAATGTGATCACTGATGATTGCAAGCTTTGGGCTCTGCTTTTATACCATGCTTGCTGGGCGGAGATTAAGCTTGCAGTTGCAATTGTGAGCACTGCTTGGCTAGCGCACATGATGATCTACAGGTGGGCTGGACGTCGAGTGCTGTATAAATACGAGCGGTGGCAGCAATGTGCAGCAGTGTGATATTGACTAGGAGTGAGTGCTGTTTGTTAGACCGGCGAAGATGCGTGTTAGCATGTGGGATGTTCCCACACAGTCATTATCAGCTTAAACTTTTCCCATTTTCTTACATATGTGTAATAAAACCTCATATGAAACTCTTCCATAAGTCATTGTTGTCTGTACAGTTCCTCGCACGTATGAGCTAGCATGTAAGTCAAGGATTAAGGATGTGCAACAGGATGATGAAATACGGAAATAGCATATAAGTATTAACCATTGCAAGAGATGCAGCTGTCCTCACAGTTCATTAAGGGCTTTTGATAGATGGACCAGTCCACTTGATCCTTGTTGTAGGCCTTACAGGAAGAATTCTGCTGCTGTCAAGTTAAGTGACTGGGGGAGGGCCAGGCAATGGCAAATCTGCCATTTTTCTGTACAGCTGTTGTCAGTGATATAAATGACTGAGAGGAGAACTAAACTCATGAATGAAGAACTCCTGTTATCTGCCAATACAGTGTACTTCGTTTTATAGTTTCACCTATATGCAATTTGCATGTGTCATAGAGAGTTAATTTAGAAAGGCTGTGTGTATGGTTTATATGTTTTGAAATATCTGAAATGTACAGGTGTTTTTTCTTAATCATCTAACACTTTTAAATTTGTGTATCTCCTTTGCTTTTGAACACAACTCTATGAAACTTTCATAAACTGTTCTACACACTTTGGATATTTATTTTGTTTCCACTTGTAACACTAATCTGAGTAACAAGGTTACATTATATATAACAGGTCAGGAAGTGTTTGTTACTGAAAACCTTTTACACTTCTTATTGTTCTTATGTTGCTGTGGGGAGACAACATTATCAAGAGCTGTCTGTTGCAGCATGAAGTGTTTCCTGTTCATGTTGTACCATGGAGAGACACTGTCTACCGGAGTGTGAAACAGTTTGAGGAAACAACAGAAGTGTGTGTGATAAATGTGCAAAGGGATGTAAATACAGGGTGTCCCAGGAGGAATGGACCAAACTTTGGGAGGGTGTTCCTTATTTTAAAGTATGCTGATAAAACCCAAAACACCTATGTCCAAAGTTGAACGGTTACGGAGATGATGGCCCAAGAAAAGTGTGGTCTTCTGGCAGGTTCACGCACTATACCTCATACATACATATACATTTGCGTTTCAGATTATTCACAAATGTGCACAGGCACAGAATATAAAACATGTCAACAAGCCAACAAGACATTGGAAACTTGTACATTCACAAACAAAATCACTAGCATATATAATCCATACTTGTCAAAAAAACACATAAAATTGTTAAAAGGAAATACAGATTGCAGCAAATACACATACAATAGTTAAAAAGCAATACAAATTGCAACAAGTACACATACAATAGTTAAAAAGCAATACAAATTGCAGCAAGAATACATAAGCACAGCCAAGGACATAGAGTTAAATTGAAGTGTACACTGTCAGACACCTCTTGACAGGTCTTGACAGAAAAGCAAGAATTCCTCAACAGTATAAGAAGGGTTTTGAAGCAATACATCCTTTAGTTTCTCAATAAACTGTTTTTTATCATGTACCAACTCAATTAAAAAATCAGGCAAACTATTAAAAACTTTTACACTCATACAATAGACCCCTTTTTGCCTCTTTGTTAGATGCGATTGAGGAACATGAAGGTTTCTAACTTGTCTTGTTGATTTACCATGAATTGTATGATTAAAAGTATAATGCCCCAGATTGTTTACCATTAGTATCATTAAAGATAAAATATATTGAGAAGCCAATGTCAAAATTTTTAATTTTTTAAAAACTGTTCTACATGATTCTCTGGGTTTCATTCCCAACATTATCCTGATGGCCCTTTTTTGTAAAAGAAAAATCTTCTTAGCCTCCCACGAGTTTCCCCAAAATACTATCCCATATCTCATAATTGAATGAAAGTATGCATGGTAAATCATCTTTAGTGTTTCAATATTGCTATACAATTTCATGTTTCTTATTGCAAAGCATGCCTTGCCCAATCTGGACAGCATCGATTCAATCTGTGACTTCCAATTCAGGGTCTTATCAATTTCAATGCCCAAGAATTTAACGTGGGTTTCCTGATGCAATATCTCATCATTAAACTTTAAATGTATAGACATATTATCTCGATTAGTTGTATCAAATTTTACCACTTTAGTTTTCTTCAGATTTAGAGACAGGCCATTAACTGCAAACCAACGGCTTAAAGAATTCAACACTAAGTTAGACCTTACTTGGATTTCATCAATATCAATACCAGACACTACTATGCTTGTATCGTCTGCATACAACAATAACCTATCATCAGTATTTAATGCTGATGACAGGTCATTGATATATAAAAGAAACAGCAAGGGACCCAAAATCGAGCCCTGCGGCACTCCATATTCAACAATCTCCCATCCTGAACAACATTTTTCATTCCCATTAGTATACAATTCCACTCTTTGCCTTCTATTTCCCAAATATGATTTCAACCATCTTAAAGTTTTACCACCAAGTCCATATACAGCCAACTTGCTCAAAAGGATATCATGCACCACACAATCAAATGCCTTTGTCAAATCACAGAATATTCCTAATGAAAGACAGCGTCGTTCCAAAGTTTCTAATATATGATTAGTTAAGGCATAGATTGCAGATTCTGTACTTCTATTTTCTCTAAATCCAAACTGAGCAGATGAAATTAGATTATTTGTATGTAGGTGCTGCTTTATCCTATTATACATCGCTTTTTCAAATATCTTGGAGAAGATTATTAACAGTGATATTGGTCTATAATTTGCCATAACGACCTTCTCACCTGTTTTGTGTAAAGGTCTTACTGACGCAAATTTCATTCTATCGGGAAAAATTCCACGTTCAAGTGATGCATTAAGTATATGTCCAAGTGGTTTACTTATTTGATTAATGCTATATTTTAATATTCTGCTAGAAATACCATCATAGCCTGTAGAATTTTTCGATTTTAGTGTCTTAAGTATATTCTTTATTTCCACCTCAGTTACGGGTATTAATTTCAGTTCAGGTAAGTTATCATACTTAAGGTTATTTAATAATTTAATTGCCTCACTTTTATCAGCATTTTTTGTTGCCAAATTCATCGACAGTTATAAAATGTTTATTAAATATTCTCACTAATTCCTTAGGATCCGTTACTCTACTTTCTCCCACTTGCAATTCTGTTACTTTATCTGAGACCTGGTTTTTTCCGGATTCTTTATTAATAATCTTCCAAGTTACTTGTATTTTATTTTCTGAATTAATTATTAATTTTTGATAATACAGTCTCTTTGCTTCTCTTATTACTCTTACTAGTATCTTACAATATCTTTTATAATATAACTTCAAACTATCATCACTTGATTTTTTAACTAAGATGTATAATGCTCTCTTATGCTTACAAGATATTCTTATGCCTTTCGTTATCCAATTATTAGAGTCTTTCTTTTTTTTATATACTATGGGAAAGCTATTTTCAAAGATTTATAAAAAAATGTTGTGAAAGATATTAAATTTCATATTTACATTCTCTTGATTATAAACTTCTATCCAATTTTCATTCTGTAAAGCCCGTTGAAAACATACTATGTTTTCCTCATTAATGTCTCTATATGCTCTAACATGATCACTTTGCCTCATCACCAGCATGTCTCCAAGTATCAGAATTTGCCCATCGTGGTCCGAGAGACCATTTATAGCAGAACAAACTTGGAATTTGTTATAAGCATTCTTGTCTATAAAAAAATGATCAATCAATGAGACAGAAGTAGTACTTATTCTAGTTGGAAACTCAATTATTTGTGTTAAATTATAAGTATCTAATAAAGCTTGTAATTGTACTTTTTTACAGTTTTCACTAAGGTAATTTATATTCGTATCACCACAGATTATTGGTTCCAATTTAAGGCTTACTAGATATGAAAGTGTGGAATCTAGCCGCTCGATAAATTGACATATATCTCCATCAGGCGCTCTATAAATACATAAAATACATAATTTCCTATTATTTAAAATTATCTTTACAGCACAGACTTCGAAAACCCTTTCCATACTTAAATTTTTGAGATCTAGCTCTTGATATGATAAATCTTCTTTAACTAAAATACATACTCCACCATTCTGACACATGTTACGTGAGAACCCTGCTGCCATTTTATATTTTGTCATAGAAAATATGGATAACTCGCTTACACTCAGATGGTGCTCACTGATACATAAAATATCAGGATAATTACATGCATCATTTAGAAAAATGTCTAGTTCTTCTTTCTTATTTCTTATGCTTCTTATATTTTGATGATAAATTACAAGTGAAGTCCACTGCCTACTATTATCCACCTTATTCTTATTATAAATCATTCCCATAAAAAATCCTTATTTCTCGTAGTTGGGATCTTTCGTCGCCTTCTCGGAGGAGCAGTTTGTTCTGCTACTCTGGCTATCCTCTGCTCATCCACGGAATGATCACTGCTTGGATTATCATGGACTCCCATTTGATTCAGACAGGTATTCTCCTGAGACATCAGTAAAATCGTAGCATGATTTGCTACATTAGACTCTATGGCCCCATCACCCACTAACTGTTCCATGGTGTTCCTTCCACAACCATTCCCTTCAACAACCTCAACACCAGACGTCTGCTTTTCATTTAAATGGCTCTGCATTTCATCCAGATAACTCCACTTTAATACAATTGGTTTCGAAATGTTAGCACTAAACAAATCCTTTATCACTGAAGCTAAGCTGAGAGGCCTTATCTATGTTTGTCCTAGAGTGCCGTGATTCACCCTAGCCATACTTATGTAGTTGGCTTTATCAGAACACGCAGTCAGCACGTTACATCAGCAATTGCCATTCATGTGTCATGTATAGTGCTTGGAAACCCTAAGGACAATTATGACATGGCGAGCAAGTATTTTGTACCTCAATTTTATGGCTTCATGTCACTCACAAGTTAGTTTGATCTTACGTACATTATTAACGTTACATAATCCACATATTCCTGCCAGTTTTAATATGTATTTTGTAATCAACAAGTGTGCAACGCCGGTCAAAGATTGACACTTCTCTGGCCATTACTCCATAACCGTTCAACTTTGGACATAGGTGTTTTGGGTTATATCGGCATACTTTAACATAAGGAACACCCTCCCGAAGTTTGGTCCATTCCTCCTGGGACACCCTGTATATTCCCTCTGTTTGTGTGGAACAAATTGTTGGTACAACATGGAAGTAACTAGAAATAAAAGAACAAAAATTAAGATGTTTAGCACCAAATATTGGGGTCTCAACCTGCACTGCATGAAAAATGTGTCATGAATTCTTGTTGTTTCCATATGAAATGCTGCTGAGTCAGTCACTGTTGGAAGACGGAATAGTGAGACATTATGCTTTTGAAGGGTAGTATTGAGTACTGCTGGAGGGCAATCAAAGTATCTGAATATCTCTCGATGGTGCAACATGAATAGAAGACTCTCAAGGATACTGTTGCTCCACAGCAACACGAAAATCAACAGAAGAGTGAAAGGTTTTCATAAACCCTTTCTGATCTCTGATCTCTACGTACATGACACCATCTTGTTACTCAGTTCAGTATTGCAAATGACAAAAGCAAAGTCAGTATATATAGAACAATCTGTGAAAGTTTCATAGAAGTGCATAATAATAAAGAGATTATACAGATTTTAAAGTCAGATGATAAAATATCTTATATATGGTTTTAAATTTTGAAGTGTATATGATTTAGTTTGGATGTATCTTTTATTTTACAGTTGCATGAAACAGAAGAAGCTAAGGAAGCACTTCTTCGTAGTATCCCCATGGGAAGGTATGTCCATAATTAAGATAATTTTTTGATGTGTTGCTTTCTGCATAAAATTTGTTGGTGCATATTACCTTAACACATTATGTTTACTTTTAAAATGCAAATAAATGCTCATCACCCTTTGATAAAATATTTTGCATCTCACAAAATTAGCTTCTCCCCCTCAAACTGATAAATGAATCAGATTATTTGCTGAAAGTAGCATTTGCCTAACTTTGTATTAAAAGTGTTACATCCCCCTTGTTTTTATGGAGCACTTTACAGGCTACAGCTGAATGACAGTCAAAATACTGAGCAGAAAAATGTTCAGATTTCTAGAAAATAAAATATACAATATGTTGCTCTTATATACCAGTTTCTGCAGACACACACCACCAATAAATATTTTTAAATTCCATTACTGCTAGGCTTAATTTTTATACAGCCATGAAAAATTCTGTCTTTTGGGAGGTTATGCTGTGTACTCCGGAAATTATCAACATTTTGGAGAACCTTGGTGCCTCCATCTACCCTGAAGCTGGAGGCAGTAGTTTCCTCTGAAAAATTGGTAATTATCTATCAGACTACATATTATCACATCCCAAACGAAATAATCATCCTCTTCACTGTTGTGAGAACCTCAAATATTTATATGACCAGTTTTTATATTGTGAATGAATGAATGTATAAGGGGTGGGCCTTCTTGGCCCTTGCACCACGACCACAACGATCTATTGTGCCTCTTTTTATATTGTGAAGTGAAAACTATAATTTTTCCATCATCTTTTAATGTAGAAAAGATGATGCAAAATACTGGACCAATTGCATGTATAGATGCAGCAGTCAGAGAAGTTCTGTTGTGTTTTAGATTCTGACAGTGGTGACTTAAAAGGAGTGCTCTCTTGTGAGATGCAATGCCTTGTAATTCAGTAGAAGCTCACCAAGATTAGAGAGAGATGTGCTGTCTCCATCTTCAGGGTTGAAGCGTAAAGAAGGCGAGAAACTAGCAAAAAGCAGTGTCAGAAGGTGGAGGGAGTACATTCCTCAAAAACCTCAGTGAATTTCTTCTGAACTACACAGTATTACATCCTAGAAGAAAACACTTCAAAGACATTCTACCTTTAAATCTTAAATTCAGTTCAGATGTCGCCATTAAGCATTTCATGACAGGTTTGATAACTTTAATAACTGAAAGTAGTCATAATATTGCCCAATAGAATATAATGAACTGGAAAGTGGTCATGACCAAATGTAACTACTGTCCTGGAATTTGCCTGCAGGAACTGAGGAACACATAATGCATATCACGATAGTTTATGTCCCAACCAAAGTTCAAATCTGATAACCCAACTTGTGAAAGGTGCCTACAAGAAATCATTCAGCCACACACATCCTATGTGATTGTGAGGCCATAGCTTATTTAAGATTTCGCCACTTGGGCAAGTCTTTATGGACCCAAGTGACCTTTATGATACCCCCATAAGCAGGGTCCTACACTTTATTAAAAATGTATGATTAATAAAAGGCTGATCCAAGGGAAGCACAATAGATCATTGAAGGTTGCACTGCGGGGGCCGGTTTTTATGGCCCACCTCTTGCATACATACATACAAAGTTCAAACCTGGTACATCCTGAATACAAGTCAGAAGCATTACTCTGTGAGCCAACTTGCCTGGTTGATGTCATGTAGTATGGTAGATAAGTACCAACATTTTGGAGGAACCTGCTCCTCCATCTTCAGAGTAGAAGAATGGAGGTGGAAACCAAGGCACTAGGTTCCTGGAAGCAGGCTACATGGCGTCACATTCCAGAAGACAGTACTCTTCATGAAGGAAGTGCCTTTGTTTCTAATAGTTCTTATTTAATGAATTCCACAGGATGGCCATCCCTAAGGAGATTGCTGGTGTTGTTTCATTTCTGGTATCAGATGATGCCTCATATATTACCGGAGAGACTATTGTTGCTTCTGGAGGCATGACTTCTAGACTCTAGGCTTATAAATTGAATACTGGAAAGGGGTATACTTTTTGGTGAGTGAAGCATTTAAGAGCTGGGACTTTCAACTTTGTTTTCTGATTTGTGATATGCAATAGGATTTATCACAAACTATGGTTACTAAGGAGCATTTAACAATTAAAGAATTTCCATCATCATAACTGGCTATACAAATTATCATGTGATTAGTACACTGCATGTTTTGACCTAACTTAACATCATCAGGCTATTATTACATTTGTTTTTGACATGACAGCTATAGTATACATGGCCAATGTTTACAATTGGAGTTAGCAGATGATGTGATATCATGATGGAGCTATAATAAATGTAGCATTTTTAAGATAAAAGTGAATTTAATGTGTTACTACATCTGGAATTAAGTTGATGGTTAAAATGCTAAAGTGAATTAAAGTAAAATCTGTTTCTGTGTCTAAAATTGAATATGATTGACTGTTAGGTTACAGGTGTGTATTGAATTATTGTGTGCATGTATTGTCCTTTGTAGTGATGCTACTACCAGATGCAGGAAGTGTTGTTATAGATAGCTGGGTTGGAATGAGGCAATAGAACAATAATTCACAGCACAATACCATCAGTGTTCTGCAGCCTCATTCCAACCCAGTGACTATTTACATTACTCTAAGACATCTGGGAATAGCAGCTCTAATGGTAACAACAAAAATACATATGTAAGATTTGAGGCTTTCACGGCGGTGACTATGAAGAAAGCAGTCTTCTGGGATTTGGCGCCGTGTATATGTGGTGTTAACCGACGTTTCGGAGGAACGTATCGCCCCCATCTTCAGGGTTGAAGAAAAAGTATAGGTAANTACATATGTCAACATAGTTGACCAGATGTATGATAGCTGATCAGTAGCTCAATAAATAAAGAGTGGCTACTAGCACATTTTTTTCTTGATGAACATTGTAGTATCAATGTGCATTTTCTTCTTTGCAAACAATAAAGAATATTTATTTAAAATATATCCAGGAAGATAATAAATGTTCATCTGACTGAAAGGGTAAAGAAAATCTGTCTTGCCATGGATACCTCATCGTTTTTTCCAAGTGTCAAACTTAAAAACCCAGAAAGACAATGAATATTGGCATACAAAGATTGGCAACACTGCTGTGAGGTATGATACATGTGATACCTTCAGAAACCACTCTCTGCTGTAAAGAATGTGTCTTCATGGAAAGGCCATCTTGGTATATAAAATATATAAATATGAGATTGGTTCAAATGAGACCCATTTGGGGATTATTCTCACAAAGGAATACAAGCCATTAAGGACAGTCCCCCAAGTCTGCTAATTCAGGGATCACATTAACACACCAGCTCATGGATTCTGACCACTAAGAATTCCCTGGTGTGCTGCTGAAACCACTGCACCCATGATATCTTCAGCCCTGTAGTGTTGTCCTTAGGAGGCTGTGCACATGCAAGTCGAGTTACACAGTGACAGGTCTGGGCTGTGTGGGGTGTAGTGTGTCCTGGACAGTGTGGGCCATATAGGGGTGGGCACTGGCTTGCACCATGATGCTTCCTGTTGATGGTGTTAAGAGACTTCTCAGATTACAAAGACAAAACAACTTCTTCCAGTGTGACTATTGAAGTTTTTACTACTTGAAAACTTAACACCCTTACATGTCACACTGGATGGAGTTGTTTTGTCTTTGTAATTTGTTAGTGTGATGGACCAGAATGAAACAAATCAAAGACTTCTCAGTGTTCCACAGTAGTGCTGTGACAAACCCCAGTACCAAGGAACTGAAAGACAGTTTGTTGGGCCTGGTTGGACTGATTCTTCACCTGGAATGTCTGCATTTAACTGTGACACTGTTCCCATTTCATGTATTATGTAGCACGTCCACAAAGTAAGTTTCCCATTCATCCCACAGCTAGCAAACCTTATATTGCGCGAAGCGACTGCACGTACGTGATAGAGCAATGACGTAGCATGGCGCATGCACAAACGGAATTTCCCGCGTTCCCACAGTAGCATCGATGCAGCTGTTGAAGATGGAGGCTCTTATTCCTACTCCCACTGACTGTGAAGTGCGGTCAGTGATAAAGTTTTTCAATGCACAGAGCATAGCGCCGATCGAAATTCATCGTCAGCTGTGCTGGGTCTATGGGCCTAACGTCATGAGCAAGCAGATGGTGCGTCGCTGGTGCAGACAATTTTCAACAGGTTGACAAAGTGTGCATGATGAGAAGCGCAGTGGGCGGCCATCCATCATTACAGACGCCCTGGTGGAGCTTGTGCAGGAACGCATTATGGAGAATCTTGGCGTCACAATTGCGGAACTCAGCAGTCATGTCCCGCAGATTTCCCACACCTTGTTGCATGAAATTGTCACGGGGCATCTGTTGTTCAGGAAATTGTGCGCCAGGTGGGTGCCGAAGCAACCGACACCAGAACACAAAACAAAGCGCATGGAGTCAGCATTGACCTTTCTGCAGTGGTACCATGATGACGGTGACGAGTTTCTGGACCGGATCATCACAGGTGATGAAACGTGGATTGCACACATTACCCCAGAAACCAAGCAGCAGTCAATGCATTGGCGTCACAGTGGATCTCCCTGTAAGACGAAATTCAAGCAGACGTCGGCGCGGAAAGTGATGTGCACGGTATTCTGGGACAGATGGGGCGTTCTCCACGTCGACTTCCTGACCAGAGGTGAGACAGTGAATGCTGAGTGTTACTGTGAAACACTGCAGAAATTGTGACAGGCCATTCAGAACAAACGGCGCGGGATGCTTAGTGCTGGTATTGTCTTCCTGCACAATAACGCTAGGCTGCACACGGCTCGACGGACAGCACGTCTCCTGCAGTTCAGCTGGGAGGTGTTTAATCATCCACCCTACAGACCGGACCTCACTCCCAGTGATTTCCATCTGTTCCTACACCTCAAGAAATTCCTGTCCGGTGAGCATCAGTGTTTTGAGAATGACAGAGAGGCGGAGAAGGTTGTCACACAGTGGTTCCAATCCCAGGCGGCAGACTTCTATGACACAGGTATTCAAAAGTTGGTCCCACGGTATGACAAATGTCTCAATTCCAGTGGCGATTATGTTGAAAAATAGCTGAACACTTGCTGTATCTGTTGCAATAAATATTTCCATGAAATTGTGTTTTGTTTCTGTAAACGGCCCCAGGGAAACTTACTTTGTGGACGAGCCTCGTACATCCATTCTGTTGGGCAGCTTGTGGTCAGCAGCTGGTGTGTCATGCACACACCATGCAGTCCACATGCAAGGAGTCACATTTGCAAGTAGCAATGCTACGGATTACATTTGAACAGCCCTCATATAAATACCGTGTAAAATAATTTCATTGTATATAAATTGATTTAATTAAAATTGCCTGATATAAGTCAGTCTTGTGATTATAAAATTGCCAGATGATGGAGTTGACTATATACAGGGTCTGGATTGGTAATTGGATTTGCTGAACTGTTACAGAACATGACTACAACTAACTATAGCACTAATTCTAATTCACATACTCTGCAGTTCACTACAGCATGTATGAAGTCTTCTCAGTCTGCTGTATCTTTGCCAGTTGTCGCCTGGTGACTCACAACTAGCTAAACTCTAGACTTGTCCTGCTTACAACATCTCAGCACGGACTGCACAGAAAACACCTCCCAACAGTTCTTATATTGTTGTGCCACATAGCTGTCACAGACCATGTAGAGAACACCACTTCAGAAATATCCATTGATGTGTTTTAGGAACCTGTCGTGACCATTACCTAGCAATGACCATTGTTTACAGAGTCATTACTTATCAATGGGTCTGCATGATATAATACAATGAAACTAAGCAGCACATTTAGTGTGCCATGCTCTTACGTAAAATTACATGGCACACTTATTTGAGGATCAAACAGAATAGATATTATGAGAACATTTCCTAACTTACATATTCAACAGTAATCATGGCCTGCTAAATGCAACTGCAGTTAAGAAAAATAAGGAAAGAAAGTCCTTGGGGTTTAGACTGCATTAAATTCAGACTTTTATATTCTTTTAATGCAGGACTTCAATACAGCACAACTTTGAAGCATATTTTAAACAATTTACATACATTTCATTTTTGTTGTATATTGTAACAATGAACAGTGCAGTCTCATTATTGATTCAGATGCATATAATTCTGACTTATCACCAGTTTGACTAAATATTACATAATACTATATAGCTGCACTTCAATCTGGCAGGTGGTTTTAACTTGCAGAATTGCAGGTTCTGGGCAGAGGACAATCCCACAGTGTTGTATGAAAGAGGACTCCATCCATTGGAGTGAGAGGGTGGTGTGCTACTGTAGCTGGAGTCATCACTGGGGCCAATATTTTTCCAAGGAGATCATCATACCCGAATGCTACCACCACATGCTGGAGCACATTTTCCTTCCTTCCTGAACTGCAACTGAAGAACACTGTTCGAAGACATGGTTTCCGCAAGTTGGAACCATATGCCATGCTGCAACAGATGTAATGCAGTTTCTGTGCTAGCAGTTAGGAGACATTCATCTCTTGGTTTGGTCCCACTCTTTGGCCACCGTGCTCTCCAGATCTCTCCCTAGAAGACTTATTCTTGTAGGGATTTCTGAAGTGCAGTGTTTACCACAAATGCCCTGGATGTGTTGTAAAACTGAAAACAAACATTGCTGAAACCACCATTGCTGTTAATCAAGAGACTGTTGGGTAAAGGGATGCTGCCATGTAAGGCTGACAACCTCACTGCCATCTGTAGACTGACTGTCTAGAAAATGTGGGAGCCTCAATGTGTCACAAGCTTATGGGCCTCCACAGCCTGTTAGAGAGAGAGCTTTACGTTTTTTTTAATCTTATTGTTAGCAGTAATGAGTGTACTTATTCACTGTCAGTAGTGCATGAACACTAATTATGCACATCTACTTTGTAATATAACAAAGTATTCTCTGGTCCTTGTGTTCTCCATCCATGTTCTGTACACAGTATTTACCTTGCTAGAAAATGGATGACCTTGCTGATGAAATTTTCATCAGCATCACTCTTGGAGAGCAACCACTGACAGGATTTGTCTTGTTTCCTATTGTCAGCATTGTTCAGTTTCTGCACAGTCTGTCTTTTAATGCCATAAGTCCAAATCTTTGTGGAGTATACATCCTAGGCTCCTTGCACTGATACCACTTTGCTGTGCCAGATAGTGGATTGACTTGACTGGACTTCTTGCACCTGCTACAGCAACAACACCCATCAATTTCAGTATCTTCATTGTAGGCAGTTAACTCTTTGACTGGCGCAGGCACATTTTAACGCCCTGGCGTTGGCGTGTTTTAACGCTTTGATACACTCTTCCCTTCTTTGCTCTCTTGGCACTCATCAACCAAAGTCATATATATGATAGTTTTTGTGCATGGTTGTAAAGAACCCTTGTAAACTTTGTGGGGGTCTATATTACTGTCAGAACCCTCTGAGAAAGAAAAGGTCAGAAAATATTTCACATTCATTCAGTTTCACCAGGACTTCTCGCAGCAAGTGTCGGCGTTTTCCTACAGACCAGCTGGAAAGTGTTGTGAACGAGATTTGTGCTGATGATGATAGTGGCGATGAAATAATGATTCCTCAATTAGATGAAGTTGATAGTGACAATAATACAGTGATAGACAAT